AGCTTGTTTTTTGACAACTATGCAACGAAAATATTTCATATATCCCAAATAGCAGGATGATTAAATTCTTAGATTAATTCCTAATTACTTATTTAACTGGAAGAGAACAGTCTATTTCATTTAATAAGCAACTCAGGTTTAAATAACCTCTAAATTTCGTATGAGGAAATCCTCGGTCTTTTGAAAGGCATTAAAAAAAGCAATAAGCAAGTCTTACCATTTTGATGCCAGTGGAAAACGTGACTGGTTTGACAGGTTTGGGTTTTTCCAGTTGCATTTCTAGCTGAGTAGATCTGTCCTTATGCTGAGCTAAAAGCAGTGAAGCAGGAAGACTGGAGCTCTCCTGTAAACATGAGGAACAAATTTGAATGCTAAAACAAAACCAACAGTAATTAACACTGCATATCGTTCAAAACTGCAAGCTGTGTCTGAAAGGTCATCACTAGCAGAGCAGCGTAATGCTAAGTACCTTCTCTATGAGAGACAGTTTACAGAAAACGATCATTCTCAGTAATAAGAAAAAGCTGCAGCAACCTCATAAATCAGAGTAACCTGCAAACAACCATTTTTATAGAATCCACATTAAAGACAATATAACAGGCTCCTTATTCCAACTGGCCAATGCAACTGTATTTATTAAAATAAAAAAAAAAAATTAGAACTTAATCAGAGAAGAAATAATACCAAGTAGTATAACTTGGATCAGATGTTTATCTAAGACGCATTCTTTCTACCAATGAACTCAGACCAGTTTGAAATTGTTTCCCATTAGATTTCACCTGAGGCCGTTTGGAAATGATCCTTGCTCTGCTTTGCACAATGGCACTATTGTAAGTGCAACCAACGGCATATTTATTTTCTCGTTCACCAACTTATTTTTAGGGAAGCCAGCCAATTTTTAAAAAAAAATATATAAAAAGTAACAAAATGAATAGTTAAGCAAATGAACTACTTAAACTCTCAGAACAAAATTATTATTAACATACATATATGTAACTGCATTCTTGAGAGAGTCAGAAAATTACCGGCCAAGTAATTTTCTAATAAACTAGTGTGACTATCCACAGGCACACCAAAATCCTCAAGACTTCCTAGCTAGAACGACCGTGAAGTTGAGAGCAGGGAAGAAGTTCAGATGGATTCTGCACAGGCTGTTCTAGCACACTATTTTATTCCTAAGGCCCTCAAACATCACATATAGTTCTGTTTCATGGAAACAAGCAAATATGGAACTATGAACCATATTTGTTACGCACAAAACCAAACAATCTCTAATAAACCAGACTGTGATTTTTTACTTAGGGTTCACGGTTGTAAGTTGGAAGTTTCTAATGCCACAAGATGCCTTGTTGTTCATGGTATCCTAGAGAAATCTTCTAAAGTGGTCATGAAGAAGAGTCATGTTGTACGCTGACTTTTCACATCACTCTCCAGTCCTCTTTCCTCTCTAACTTTTTTACACTCACTTTGTCTTACAACTAGACCGCAAGTGCTAAAAGCAGAAAAGTCTCACATGATGAGATCTGGTCCAGATTTGTATCACAAATACAACATCTAAGGCACAGGATTCTACTCACATTTCTGTGATTAACCAGGAAGAGGGGAGGGAAGAGGTTAAAAACCTAAATTGTCATAATAAGAGACACCTAGTTTCTGTACAACTGGGAGAAAATTTGGACCACAAATGCAGTAGTTTACACTCTGCATCTTCAAAGTGTTGTACATGTCTGTAACCACCATGCAGCAGCATGTGCTGCCAGCTGTCAGCAGAGTTTAAGGAAGTTGGACTATTTTAATCATCAGATTTAACATGCTGGGGGAGAAGGGAAGAGTGTGAAGCGTTCTCTGATTCATTTTGCCCTCTCATATTCCTTAAACATTCACTGCATTTCTAATACAATATGTGAAGGAAGCCCATTTTTGTACTAGCTTCTCAAGAGTTCGCACAACCGGTAACCAGATTACACAACTGTGGGAAACCCACACTGCCAGCAAGCCACCACATCCGTGATTGTTTGTCCTTTCTAATACGCACATAGCCCTTCTGTTAACTATTAACACACATGAAAGGTCCAGTCCTGTAAGCATTTATCCAATTTTCTGTAGGGGAAAACAAACTGCCTAATAGTATGAACAAAGCTAGTTATTTGCAAAAATTTCTGAAAAGATTGGTCTCAAAAACCCCGATGTCCTGGTAAAAGTGGGGACACAGTGTCTTTAAGGCATGCTGCCCCTTGCTTGACTCCAGGCTATGCCATGGCCCAGGGAAAACCCGCCTCTGCCATGTGTTGCAATGCCATTTTGCGCATGCCTGGGAAGTACGGGCTCTTGAAGAGGAGATAGCAAGTCCCACGACACACAAGACATTCAAAAGCAGATTTATAATCCTCTGTACACAGGTGAGAGAGTTTACACGGTAAATAAAGGAAGTGCTTTATTATTCTACTCAGTCCCAATTATCCAAGTCAAGAAGGTTAAAAAAAACCACCCCAAAGACAACACATATACAGCTCTTCCAATAATATGCAAAATGCATTTGAGACTACAAATCTAAATTACAAGGTGTTGTGCTTTTAAAGTGAGAGGTTTTATTGTAAAAGAGGTCACTTATAATGAAGGTAATATAAAATCTGCCTAATTTAGTACTGGGAGGCAAAACAGGCAACAGCCTAGGCAAAGTACCTGATTGCTCTTCTAGTAGCCCGCAATGCCTTGCTCACCTTTCCAGCAAGTGACACTGGCCTTCCCTCCCTGCTCCCAGCAAAGGACAGGTTCATGGAACCTTGGCCCCAGGTCCAGTCCTTTCTGCGTGACCCACTGAGCTCCTCAGGCTGACCAGGAACCAGAGCCTGCAGCACAACATTTTAAATACCAAACATTTCTGCACCTTTTTCCCTGGCTAGACTATCCAAACTATAAGCCCTTTGAAGATGGGACAGTATTCTTGTACTCTTTTTGTAAATAACTGAGACCTTTACTCAATATGATAATACCATAAATAATACATAAAAGAAACTGCGAATCTCCTCAGTCGTTAGGATTTAAGCACCAAAGGTAAAATTCTCCTCTTGGAAGAGGGAAGGCCCAACATCTCTACCAGCACCACATAAAAAATTTGTCTTAAATTTTCTCCTGCTGCCCAGGGAGGTGGGAGGCAGTGAGGGGGCGGAATCTTGGAAAAAATGACCAAGACCCAGGTCAAGTAGGCTGTAGGTTCCCAATGCCAGGTGATGCATCCAAAAGAGACGACTCAAAACCAACAGGTGAAGCATTGGCTTCCCACCTTCCTCTGCACTCACAATCCTGCCAGGTCAGTAGTTTTGCCACTAGTATCACTGTAGCCAGAACTTAATCCCAGCTGTTTTAGCACAGTACCAACAACCACAGATATAATATTATTTTTAATGTAATTCTTTACACTGCTACTACTTACATTTGCTTTTGCTGCATTTCTCAATTAAGTTTTACTTATGATCAGCTTCATTTTCAGATTTGCAGCACAGCATTAGAAGGATTTCAGAGACCATAGGAAATGTTTATTTGTTTAACAACTGCTGGTTTTCCAGAGACTTTGTAAGTCATTATACAAACACTTCAGTGCTGGTTTTATAAACCTATAGTATTACAAAACAAGTTTTGGCTCCAAATCAAGTTGACAGTGCCCTTTCATAAACACAGACCAAACTTAAAATTGCCCAGTTTCCTTCCTCAGCCTTTAAAAATCACCTTTCTGTTGTTTTAGAATATTAAGATATGTTTTAACAGCAATACATATGCAATCACAGTTAAAACTACCTATTTTGCTCATGTTTTAAAGATTATTTATAACCATTCTTTCCTCAAGCCATCTGGTGAAGTAGGTTTCCAGTAAAACCAACTGCTGTGCAAAAAAAACCAAACACACACACACACACCCCCCCATCACTGGTCTCTAGTAAATTAAGAGCATGTTTTAGAACAGGATTGAAATTAAGTCAGAAACCAGTTCAAAATCCCTATCCTGAACCATTAAATTCAAGTTCATAGTGGAGCTTTTATTAATTCATCTGCCGCTCAAACTATTCCTAATTGTGTAGATTGTAAGCACTTTTACCTTTAAAGTGAAAAGAGACTGCTGGATACACAGTTACAGATTTGAGGATTTTCAGTGAACCTTTCTGCTCATCCCTGTCTACGAAAAATGAAACACCAGCTCATTTCAGCAAAACCAATGACAGGTTGCCAGGACTCCTGGCTTAGGAAAAGGCAGCTCTTCAGGAGAGCCCCTGAAACTCCTAAATTGCACATCAGTGTGCTCTCTGCATGTCAGTGCCTTCTGCACTGTTTCAAAGAGGAACTCTACTTTTCCAGGAAAAGTAGAAAAACATCTCCATCTTGAATAAGAACTAGGAATACAAAGCAAGAATTAATATGAGATAAACTGAGAGAAATTAGGATTTAAATCTGCCAGGCAGCTTTAAACTGACATAGCTGCACACATGCATGCATGCATACATACTTCTTTTTTCTGATTTCCTTCAAGGTTACACACAGACTGTTCTCATGGGTGTTAGAGCACGTGAATGTGTGTGCGTGCGTGTCTGTACACACATGTGTATTAAAAAACTTGAGATGTGAATCTTGCTTAAATAACACATTTACTGAGCTTCTATGCCCACACATCATCATTGCATTTCAGATGCAGAATCAGTAGTAAATTCAGCCAAAAACAAGATTAATACAATTTCCAGAAGTAGCCCGAGGTTTTTTTTTTTTCAGTTGTCTACACAATCCTCAAATTAATCCAAGCTTCATTCACTTCAAAAGGAGCAACTCTTTCACAAAAAGTTTGCAGTAAGAGAATATGACACTCAAGGCAATAAATCTTTTTCTTTCAGTAGTTTTTCAATACAAAGGGACCACCTATCATTTAGGTGCTCCAACTCAAAAAGGGCTGACTAATGCTCGAATAATTCATGAGGTTACTGTCCCCTGTTCTCCACCATCTCCCCATTGCAGAGGTGGCTGAGCTCATGAAGTGGCTCCTCATTACTATTTTGCTTCAACACACCAGATTATCAACCACTATTCAGGACTGCTTAACAAGCCAACAGTGGTAAGAGTTCACATTAGAGCTGAACCAACTTAGTAGCTCCTCTCTACCCCCCTCACAAATTGCATGATCAGCCATGCACCAAAGCAGATGCAACTGTCATCGGCTGAAGGCAAAACAAGCAGGCAGTTACATGGCCTCAGACATGACAGAACCTCACCCATCATACATCAGGTTCAAGGTGGAGTAGTCACCATATCAGCTATGCTGACACAAGCCATCCTTGATCACAGTCAAAGCCTCTGGCTTTCATACTGTCAATGAATTAAGCAGAAATCTAGACTTTTATACTAGATCTTCTTCAGGTAATGCAGTCAAATGTCAACTAGTAAGTAAACTGGTAGAGTGGGTGGACTCACTAAAGCAATTTCTGAAATATACCTCCACATGTCAATTAGCAACAAGAAAAGAGCATTCAGCAGAAGCTCACTAGGAAAAGAAATGAACAAAAAACTCAAAACAGGTAGAACCAGGAAAATAGCCTTCTTCAAATACCCAAAAAACCCTCTGCATTCTTCTTTGCTGGAATCTTACCCAGGATGAATTTTATGTTGAAACAGCCAAGAATGCTTTCCTAGAATTAATTTCTAACCAGCACCCAACACCCTGGACAATGAGTCCAGGTAAGTCTATGAATCCCAGAACCATTCTTCCTGCAGTCCTTAGCTTACCAAAGCCAGAACTATTTGTAACATTGAAATGAATGATAGGTGAAGAGAACAGTAACACAAAACATGCAGGACAGGGAAACAGAAAGGGGCAGATGTGTTAACTCCACAGAGTTAACCGTGGTAGACGTGAATGTCAATGTACTCGCTGTTTGCTCTGCTACTGAGCATTCAAAGCCTCTGGTTTTGCTACTCACCAGATCATCCAAGAGTGCCTGTTTATTCTTCCTTTTTAGCATCTGCTGTAGTTGTTCTTCTTTCTGTATGAGCAGTCGCCTTTGTTCGTTTTCCTGTCGCTCTACCTCTAAAGCTTCCTCCAGCTCTTCCTGCTCCCGTGTCTGAAATGGAAATCAGAAATCAACTCATAGCAATCTTCCTCCTTGGGTGGACAGAGCTCACCCACAGCTCTACTGCCTACCAAAGGACCTAGGACAGACCAGCAATGGGAACACAGCCAAATTCTACCTTTTAGGTTAGACTCTTAGGTAGAATTTTGAGGTGATTATGATGATTCTACCTCCTCTTATTGTCCAGTGCAAAGTTAGATTTTTTTGCTTGCTGCTCTTTGCAGTAGGAAGTAACCATTTGGATCTTGGCTCTTTAAATGTTAGAGAACAACAATGGGTTTTCCTTACACCTTCACCCTAAAATGAAGGCACCCCTCTCTGCTCCCACACATCTTAATTCTCAAGTGATGTAAGTGGGTGACCAAAAATATAATCCCACAATACTGTTTCTGATCATCCCCCTGATCAGCTGCATCATGTGCAAAGTACACTGTGTGCTTTTTAACAGTGGTGTACAAGAAAAAATAAGAAATTCAAAATCTATGAATATTAATGGAGAAGCTTATAAGCTAAAATGTATTTAAGTATGAACTGTAAAAAAAGTCACATTCACAGAAAATGAGGAATTTTTCCTATAACTTGGACTGAAGTTATATGCCACATGAGAAGAAAAGAAAGAACTAACTAAGACATAGTGACTAGTTTTTGTTTCAGGATTTACTTCTTGAGAAGTCTTTTTTAACCTGTAAACTATTAAGTCGTCTGTATTTGAAAATCATAGTGGATCTAAAAAGAGGACGACTCAAAGACGGGGGGGAAAGGATTACAGCTAAACAAGCTTATACAGAAGAGGGAATCAAAAGAACATTAGTTTGGTGCTAAGAAGGTATAAGACAATAACATGCAGAAAAAAATTTTCCAAATCTTCCCCACCAAAAATACTAAAGCAAAGGGAGATTCAGTAAAAACACAGAGACAATTAAAATTTTATAAAACTTAAATGGATGATTAATCCATGGAAGTGGTTTCAGCAAAACATTATGGCAGCCAAGAGCTTAGTAAAATCTGTAACAAAAAGACCTAAAGTTATATCGTAAAGCATAGCAATCTGATATATGCCAGAATATGCTGAAAAACATCCCTTTACCAGGCAGATCAAGCCAATGGGTCCCAGTGAGGCCCAGTTACTCCTGGATGCAAGAGCTGACAGATCTCATAACCTGCACTGAGCCAACAGAAGCTGCTTTCATTTTGTAACTAGCAGTTACACTGGTAAAGAGCTGGTCACCAACCAGTGACCACCTGAAACTGGATTCTCTTTGCATTTAATGAAAAGAAACAAACAAACAAACAAAATCCCCAAGTTGCCAATTGAGGTTATTTCTGGGAATTAAGGGTTCTAGTTAGTTCAGTCAACAGAACTGAAGAACTCAGGGTCTTCAAGACATTCCAAGCCTCTTCCACATTTATGTATAAAGACTGCCTGGAACTTGCACTGAAACAGAAGAAAACTTGTAGGGAAGTGCTGACAGACCTAGTCTGAAGAACCAGCCCAGAAAAATTATAGTCAGAAATAAGTAAACTGATATACAAACCATACCAGATCAGACTACAAGAAAAAGGACCTGAACAATCTGGAGAGGTGGGCCTGTGTGAACCTCAAGAGGTTCAACAAGGCCAAGTGCAAGGTCCTGCACCTGGGACGGGGCAACCCCCGATATTGATACAAGCTGGGGGATGAAGGGGTTGAGAGCAGCCCTGCGGAGAAGGACTTGGGGGTACTGGGGGATGAAAGGCTGGACATGAGCCAACAGTGTGTGCTCGCAGCCCAGGCCACCAACGAATCCTGGGCTGCATCAAAAGCAGCGTGGCCAGCAGGGCGAGGGAGGCGATTCTGCCCCTCTACTCTGCTCTGGTGAGACATCACCTGGAGCACTGTGTCCAGCTCTGGGGCCCTCAGCACAAGAAGGACATGGACCTGTTGGAGCGGGTCCAGAGGAGGGCCACCCCGAGGGCTGGAGCCCCTCTCCTACGAGGCCAGGCTGGGGGAGTTGGGGTTGTTCAGCCTGGAGAGGAGAAGGCTGTGAGGAGACCTTATTGCGACCTTTCAGTACTGAAAGAGGGCCTATAGGAAGGATGGGGACAACCTTTTTAGCAAGGCCTGTTGTGACAGGACAAGGAGTAATGGATTTAAACTAAAGAAGAATAGATTTAGACTGGATACAAGGAAGACATTTTTTACAATAAGGGTGGTGAAGCACTGGAACAGGCTGCCCAGAGAGGCAGTGGAGGCCCCATCCCTGGAAACCTTCAAGGTCAGGTTGGATAGGGCTCTCAGCAACCTGATCTGGTTAAAGATGTCCCTGCTCGCTGCAGGGCGGTTGGGCTAGGTGACCTCTAAAGGTCCCTTCCAACCCAAAGCATTCTATGATTCTATTACAAGTCAGATCAAATTCTTTCTGAACAGAAGACCAAACAAAACAGTAAAACAGAAGAGAAACAAGCTCAACAGGCAGTAAGGGTTGTGTCAAGCTTAAAGACAATCTAGACACAGTCCCAACATCTAAAGAAATAAAGATGATCATGGCGAAGGCTGGAGTAAACTCAAGACGACAAGTAGAAGAAGTAAATAGAAAACATAATAATGTTTTGCCACTTTCAAGAAAGGACAATCAAGAAAACTTAAAGACATTCACATCAAGGAGTTCAGACAAAACTATTTCAAGACTGAACAAAGCAGCAAGTGAAATTAAACATCTAGTAACAAAGTAGTAAGTAACAAGTCACCCTATGACTGGAGAATAGCAGACATTTAAGGAAAAAGGCACATCTGGGAAAACAGTAGTCCACTTGGAATGCAAGGTTATATGCTGACTGAACAAACTATAATAAAAATAAATGACAGGAACTCCTTCTCCAAGAGTTCTTCACCTTTTTATCCAAACCTGTGTACTTAAACTTTTTCTGTGCATCCTGCATCAAATCCAGAGATCTAACAGATGGGTTAGTACACAAGTAGCAAGATCATTAGGAACTGGCTACAAAGATGAAAAATATGGCTTGTATTGACAGAACAACAGGCAGTTATTCAAATCCTGAGGTGACAGGTTCAGTAACTTAATATTTTGATTTGCAAGAAAGAATGACATACTCATGAGGACAGAAGTAGCAGAAGTGAGAAGAAAATAACTTATAAGACCACAGATTTGGAGGCGTAGTTAATCAGTTAGACACCAAAGAGGAGAAAACATGATGCACTACTTGATCACACGGATTTTGAACCTCCCATATGACAGTGCTACAAGAGAAGAACAGTCTTAGGATCACGCATCTCAACGTGGAAAAACAGTGTTCTTTTATAAGAGGCTGTTAAGATCTCTGCTACAATACTGCATTCAATTCTGGTCCCTTCTGCCTGCCAAACACAAATTCAAACTGGAACGGGCAAAGGGTAACAAAAACACCAAGAGGGACAGAGAATATCTATATTCCTCAGAAGCAAACTATTGCAGTGGACAGAAAAATTTATGTCAGTCCAAGAATGAAGGGACAATGACTGGCCATAACAAGTTTAGGTGAGAAATTAGGACACCTTTTACCATTTAAGGAGCAAAGACATTCCAAAACCTGCCAAAAAGAGCTAGAGAGAGAAAGCACCCTTTCAGCTTTTGGGATAGTGGTAAATTTATGAGCAAGATCATGCAGTTTTTGTAATAGCAACTGCGTCAAGTCTATTATTATGTTTCAATTGTTGAAAAAGATCTGTTGAATGTTTCAAATGTTGAAAAAGAAAGAAAAAAGGAACGTCTCCAAATCTCCAGTAAGTCTGGATTCACGCAGGCTTGTCCAGCTTCCACCAGACAGCCTCTAGCACAGCAAGACCATACAGTACAGAAAACAGAAGGCCCAGGGGGCTTGGGTGGGTACAGACTTTTACTGTGCTGCTTGATATGATCACATGGCTAGTGCACAGGCCGTCTGCAAGTCACGTACATGAACGAAAGGTGGGCTGCAGGCAAAGCACACTATTCTCACGGTGACCCTAGAGGTTGCACCTACGTTGTAAAATAAGACATGTAGCCAAAGATTTGGCAGGTCTCTTCAAGCTCTGAAGCATAGGATATTGCACAGTGTCAAAGACAGGATAACAGATCAGAGATGGACCCCTAGGGAAATTTCCTTGCCTTTAAAAGGAAGAGGTTCAAACAAACATTTTTCAGATTCCAATCTCCTCCTGTGAAAACCTAGAGCTAAAGAAATCACTGGGAGTTTTGCCACGGACTTCAGGGGAGTGAGGATTTCACCCCTACTGATTTGAAAGCAAGTCCTTAGTGCAACTGGAATACAAACACAAAACCTTGTTATGTCACACTCTGGGCAGACATTTTCCTTCAAGAACTGATAACAATGTGTATTTTTATACTGAAAAAATATTTAACAGATTAAACTTTTCTTACAGAAAGACATGCTTGCAAGTTTATTTTTAAAGAACAAAATGATATCTGAGCCACATTTCAAACTAATAGATCTTCAAAGAACCATGCGTTTTGCATACAGATCATGTATACAATACTACTGATGTTATTGTTATCAGCTGTTGAACAAAAGTTTTAATGTTTGTTTCAACATCTTTCATTTTAAATTTTGTATAAACCAGACCTATGCTTTCCCTCAATGTTACAGCTCTCTCCTGGGAGCTTCCTAATGTCTGCGTCTGGATTCCTTTTTAGCTTTGGATGAGAAAGGAATGATTGTCCTGGTATACGGATGGACTTGGTCTCTCCTGGATATTGTCCAACGACACTGCCAGCACACATGCGGTGGTGATGTATTAGATGCAGACTTTACTGCCTGTCCCTCTTTTTAAGCTTCCCAAAGTAAAGCATAACTACATTTCAACTATCAATTTGATCTCTTTAAGCAGCACTAAATCAGTATCGCAGAATATTAGCGTATTACAGTTTTTTAATACAAAGTGAAATCTGCATAGTGCCTTCAGCTTTGACTTGTTTTTACTCCACTTCGAAAATCCTTTAATTCTTTAGCTAATGAATAAAAATTGTAGGGGAGAGAAGTTAACTAACCAGTTTTATCTTATTTTTCTGAATGACTTCTTTGTTATCCTTCTGGTACAGCTCCATTTTCCTTTTGGTGTTCTCCAAATCCACATTGTTGGTCAAGTTAAATACTGCATAAATATCAGGAAGACAGAAAGTAAAAGTATTAGGTTGTTATGTATGACTGTGACAGAGAAATACTACTCTTATGTTCTCTACCCCTTCTAGCACCAGATATAAACGTCGCAATAACAGAATTTATTTAAAAATGCCCTGGAAAGCAAGACACAGTCTGCTAAATCACTGCAAACTTCAACAGAAGCCAGCAGATTTCCTTTAGGTTTATGCATCTGTAGGACACGCAAATTTGAGCTTTGCATCTTATTTTGTGATGCTGATAAAGATACACATGAATAATCATAATTATTATTTGTTAAACATTGACCTTTTCAAGTAGCAGTTACAGCTAAGAACACAGAGATTCCTATAAAATTAAATTTAATATGACTAAACACATACATACTAAGATAAGGTTAGAAATTAAGCCATTCCATTTCATAAGAGTATCTAATGCACAAAGACTACAGAGACTGTTCAAATTCTCAGGTACACAAAAAATTTTCACATCATTTGATAACTTAAAAGGCACCAATGTATGATTATCTTTATTACAAGGAATCTGCAGATGCATCCAGATTAATAGGCTATGTGACATTCTTTTGATGTCTCCAGATAGTGACAGACTATATCTCACGTAATTATGAGCAAGCAGGGTTGGCCAGCAAGCTCCATAGTTTAGCACAACATTTGCAATTACCTACACATGGCATATGGAAGATACCTCAAGAAACTGAACAGTTTCTATAATCAACAGCTTGAAAGATGTAGATGGTTTGGATGATTAGTAATTTGATACAATGCCTGAGCCTTTCACCTCTAGGTCACTGGTTCAATTGTGGGTCAAGTGAATTCCAACTGAAAGCCATTATCACTGGGAAGTCGCTTGGTGATCGCCATCCAGAGTGGATGCCGGGCTCACACCCATGGCCTTAAAGCTATTGAAGCCTGCCAATGTACAGCACTCAGCCTCGAAGAGCTTTGTCATGTGGCTACAGTAAATCTACAAGAGCAGCAGAGCAATTTGCACTGCCATTGATAAATCCTTCGCAAGAAAACAACAGCGTAGTGATTGCACTAAGTCAAACCCTGAGGAAGGGAAGGAGGTTCTAGTGGAAAAGCCAGCACGGGACTTGCAAGGTTTTGGTTCAGTTTTCTCTTCCTAGGTTCTCAAGCAACTAGGGACATATGAACCCTGGGCACATGCACCACTGCCAAGTCATTTGTTTAAGCAAGGCAGCTAGAGAGAAACGGAAGGAAGAAGTACAAAGTCTGTTGTTACTCATCAGGACAGCACACACCTCAGTTTGGTAAAGATTATATCCCTTCTTTCATCCTCTCCACAGGTAACATGGCAGAAATGAGCTTTTAGGAAGGCTTTAGGTAAACCAAACCATGAGCAGCCTAGACTGGCAAACCAGTTGAGAGCAGCAGAGGAAACAGCAAGAAACCAAAGCAGGGAGCAAATGGGCAGGGGGAGAAAACAGAGAAGGTCCAAAATGCTGGAGTTCTGGGACACAGCTCAGTTCTACAAACCCAGCTGTATAGCAGCTCACTACTGCCAAAAAGGGACAGTCCTGCTCTTATGTCCCTCTTCCCAGGCCTTTTCCCCTGCTCTGACTCCAGGACTCCCTGGATGCTTCGTAGCGTCAACTGAAACCCTCCAGTAACCTGAACTGGCTCAACAAAGGGGCCAGACAAGTGCCAGAGATGGTACAAGGGAAGTAATAAAAGTGTACAGATGGAAATAGGAATACTCTCTTCCAGGAGTACTGAACCACTACGTCATCTTACTCTTATCAAAAGTATTCAGTCCTTCCTTGAACTGCGACAAAAAGGGCTAGGCAAGATACAACTGAAGAAATTCCTAACCTTAAGCAAACAAAATGCTGTATTTACTTTTCCCCCCTCTTTTCCAAAGAATGATCAGTATCAAGAGGACTGACGTTTGAATTCAGCCTGGCTCCTAAATCAGCTGAACTCTTCCACCCCTACCCCACCACCCTCACTTCAGAAGGAAGATCTGAGATAGAGGCTGGTTTTGTGGTTTCAGCATTTGATTGGGAATCAACACCTGAGTTCAATTTCCAACTTTGCTACTGTTCTTGGGCCTCCATACTGGAGGTCTCCCACCAGTAAGAACCAGGAGTAGGGGAATAAAGCTTCCTTTCTCCTATAGATCCTCCGCTGTATCTCCATACTATAGCTATATGCAACACCTATCTCTGTATCTTGATCTCATCTCAGGTGGAACTTCTGGGCACTGCTATAACCCACACAAGTCATTCAAAGTTCATCTCCTTGTTTTTTGAAATGCTTTTTGGAATGCTTTTTGGAATCATTGTAAAACCCATTTCAATTTTTTTTTTCTCTCCAAAAGGCATAACAACATTTTCCAGTTTCATCTTGTGATAACATCTGGTTGTAGCAACATTTCCTTAGTAAAACACATTATTTTAGTCTAAATTTTTAGGTTTTTCATGGAGGTTTGACCTCCAAATTTCCAGCCTGCAGTTCCCAGCTGACAAGCAGCTTAATATTTGAGTATTACAGCAGAGAAGAATTGTCATGTGAAAATGCTGGCATACAGTCAGACCAGGGCTCTGCAATGACAGCAGCTGCATGGGAATGTCAGCACTTCCTACAACTTAAATCCACACACCAGCTCTCTAAACTCTTCAGTGACGGCACAAGAAAGAAATAGCATAAGACATGCTGTGCTAGCAGGATGCCCAGATGCCACCTTCAGGTGCAAGAGGAGGAGCAAGATGAGATGCCAAATGCCTTTAGGCTCCTGAACATCTTGGGTATTTCTCTAAAAATAATCCAGCAATAAAGCTGATGATCCAGATTTTGCAACTATTGCTGCTTGAAACATCAGGGTGGGGTTTTTTCCTCCTTTCTCAGTCATCTTTAATAGGTTCATGTCCTGGTTTCAGCTGGGATAGAGTTAATTTTCTTCCTAGTAGCAGGCACAGTGCTGTGTTTTGGATTTAGTAGAAGAATAATGTTGATAACACGCTGATGTTTTAGTTGTTGCTAAGTACTGCTTGTGCTAGTCAAGGACTTTTCAGCTTCCCATGCTCTGCCAGGTGCACAAGAAACTGGGAGGGGGCACAGCCAGAGTAGTTGACCCAAACTGACCAAAGGGCTATTCCATACCATATGACGTTATGCTCAGTATAGAAACTGCGGGGGGTTGGCTGGGGAGCAGCGATCGCTGCTCGGGGACTGTCTGGGTATCGGTCGGCAGGTATCACTTGCTTTGTATATTATTATTATTGTTGTTATTATTATTGTTATTCTTATCATTACTATTTTACTTTATTTCAATTATTAAACTGTTCTTATCTCAACCCAG